TGGCCTGTATCAGACGCACCTTAGTCTCCAGGGAGACACCACTGCTCTTCAGTACTTTGGAGAGGTCCCTAACAGCAGACTTTCCCATCGCAATGCGCCCTGCTTCTGAGAAGCCCCGGGAAATTGTTCCATTCCTGTGGCTTCCTAACACCACATTGCGATAGTTTCTCTCTTAGTAAAATACAACTTCTTTGAATGATTCTATTTTAAGTATGCTATTTTTCACTAGGATTCTGATAGACACAATGCATATTAAAAAAAAAAATCCTCATGTGAAAAGCTCTTTATGATATCATCATTAGAAAAGCAAACTAATGTAGTTAGTGTAACAGTCCTATTTATTAATCATACGCCTTTACGCAACTATATGTACTTTATGTATATCCTTTACCTCATTAACTCATACATACCAAAAATCTGCAAAGGCATTAGCAAAATATGAATAGTGAATATTTCCTGGGTAGAATTTTTCCACCCTCCAATATAATTATAAAATTTGAATTTTTAACAGCATATATTATGCTGATAAATATGAAAAAATAAACATATATTTTAAAGCTCCACCAAATAGTATTTTTTTTCTTCTCCAATAATTTCTATTGCTTAAAAGTAGAAGCATTTAGTTACTAGTTTACTCAATTTCAGAGTGCAATAATTGGTAGAAAGTTTCAGTTTACCTTTGGTTTTCATGGTGGTGTACATATTTAAATACTAGTTGTACAACAAATCATCCTTGTATGTATGGATAGAATCCTATCACACACAGCACTGTACTTCTGGATCAATACTGAAATGCTGTTTTTGTTCCCATTCCCCCCAAAACCTGACAGAGCAGATGGGAAATTATTGACTATCATTAATACCATATTCAAGTAAAATCTTGCTGAAGATTATTAAAAACAACTGGAATAGTAACTGAAAGGAAACTGCCAGATATTAAAGATAGCTTCAGAAGAAGTTTTAGAGCAAGGGGTATTACTGCTGAAGTCAGATGGGTCATGGCGAAAAGGAAAGACTATCAGGAAAATATACCCTTGTATTTTATTGAGTATGCAAAGGCATTTAAATGTGTGAATCATAATAAGTTACTGATAACACTGAGAAGATGGGAATCCCAGAACACTTAATTGTGTACATATGAAATCTATGCATACACCAAGAAGCAGGTATCCAAACAGAACAAGGGAACACTGAATGGTTTACAATCAGGAAATGTGTGCATCAGGCTTGTATCTTTTTCTCCACACCTATTTAATCTGTATGCTTAGCAAATAATTCAAGAAATGGACTCTATGAAGAAGATGGCCTCCGAATGAGAGGAAGATTTATTAATAACTTGTATTATGCAGATAACAACTTTGCTTGTAGAACATGAAGACTTGAAACACTTGCTACAAAAGATACTACAGCCTTCAATATGGATTACATCTCAACACCAAGGAAGAGAAAATCCTCACCCCTGGACCAAAAGGCATCATCATGATAGGTGGAGAAAAGGCTGAAGAGGTCCTGGATTTCATTTTACTTAGATCCACAATCAACACTAGCAGCAGTCAAGGAATCAAAAGATATGTTACATTCAGGAAATCTGCTGTTAAGCACCTCTCACAAGTGCTAAAGAACAAGGATGTAAATTTAAAGACTAAGGTGCACCTGAAGCTGCAGAATGTCCAGCTGCTTCATATGCATCTGAAAGCTGGACAGGAGTAACCAAGTCCAAAAAAGAATTGAAGCCTTTGAATTGTGGTGCTGTTGAAGATTATTGAATATACTCTTGAACTGCCAAAAGAACAAATTTGTCTTGAAGGAAGTGCAACCTGGATGCTTCTTAAAGGTAAGGATGGTGAAATTTTATCTCTCTTATATAGGGCCTATTTTTTAGGAGGAATCAAACCTTGAAAAGACATTATGCTGGGGAAAAATAGAGGATCAAAGAAAATGAAGACCCTCAATGAGACTACCACAATGGGTGTGAGCATGACAGAGATTTTGAGTATGGGTCAATAATAGGCAAAAAATTCAGATCTGTTATTCATAGGGTCATTGTAAGTCACAGTTGACATGCTAGAACCTAAAAACAGCATGATAAGATGGTGAAGAGACTGAGATTGTTAACACTGTCAGTTTGCTTGGCTCCACAATCAACACTCTTGGTATCAGCAGCCAGAAAATCAAAAGATGAATTGCACTGGGAAAATTAGCTGTCAGGGACCTTGCCAAAGCACTGAACTTGCCAAAGTATTGAAGAACAACAATGTCAGTCTGGAAACTAAGGTACAACTGATCCAGGCCATAGTCTTTGCAACTTTTTGCTATGCATCAGAAAGCTGGACAATGACTAGGGATGATAAAAGAAGAATTGATGCCTTTGAGCTGTGGCTGGAGAAGAGTATTGAATATACTATGGGCTGTTAGGAGAACAAATAGGTTCGTCTGAAAGAGGGTGGAACCAGGCTGCTCCTTGGAGGCAAGGATTCTGAAGCTTGATCTGACATAGTTTGGGCATGTTGACAGTAGGACCATTACTTAGAGAGGGACTTAACACTTGGAAAGAAAGAGGGACAGCACAAGAGAGGAAGAACCTTGATGAGATGGACTGACTCAGTAACTAGGGTAATGGGATGATTAGGTGTGTCAGAGATGATGAGGTTGGCTCAGGACAGAGCAGTGTTCAGGGTACACAGGGTAGCTATGAGTCACGGGCAACTCAACTGTACTTAACAACAATAATTCAGAAGCCAATGATTTCTTCTTATTAAAGTGTGATTTGTGTGAAGTTTACAAAGTATATTTATTTTCCATTGTACAGTTTGTTTCATAACATTCATTTCAGTACCCACAATGTAACACTTTTCCCACTCCCTTCTGATGATTCTAATTTTCATTAATCCCCTCTATCATGTTACTCTCTGCCTTCTGAGTTTTATCCTTGGGCAAATGCTGTCCTTTTGTCCTTTTATCTTGGTTGTTCAAAGAAATGAGTGTTTCCCTGGTGCAACTGTTCACCTTAGAGGCCTGTCTACTGTTTGGCTGCAAGTTGAGTCTTTAGAATGAGTCAATTATTTCTTACCAAGATTATGATAGCTTTCTTACTGAACCCAGTGGCTAGTCTTGCCCATTGTATTCCAGCCTGTAAAGTGTCACCAAAATTATTTTTCCAAGAGGGAAAATTGATAATAATTATTTCCCTGTTCAAAATTCCTCTGTGGCTTTGAGAAAAATCTGCATTTATTTGCACAGTAAACTTAGCTGCCGTCAACTCTAACTTAGGATCCCCATGTACAAAAAGACTAGTTCACTCTGAGTTACTGGATTTTTCACCAGCAGACTGGCAGGCCTTTCTCCTCTAGTCTGTCTTAGTGTAGAAACTCTGTTGAAAGCTGTTCATCGTTCTAGCCTCTACTGACAAACAAATGGTGGGCTGTCCTTGAGGTATACTGTTTAGAAATCCAGCTGTTGTCTTTTGCATGGCATAAATTCTACCACAGAACCACCACTAATGTCGTATTGTTGTTATATACCTACCACTGAGTCAGAACTGGCTCACAGCTGACCCTCTAGCAAGTCTTTAGAGACTGTCAATCACCCATCTTTCTCCCGTATAAGAGCAGGTGGACAAACGGCCTTCCAGATACCTCATATATTACTTTCTTCAAAATCTGACTCCTATTTACATATTTGGCCTTGTTTTTCGCTCCTTTCTAGTGTACACAATTCATTCTCACTCTCATGCCTAAATACAAGTTAGCTAGAAGACTTTTCTTTGTGCTTGTTCTCTTTATCAACACCTACTCTTTCCAATCTCCTATTAAAGTCACCTTCTCTGACATTAGTGAAGTGCAGGCCTCTCTCTCCTCTACTCCTGCTATGGCTGGTTCAATTCTCTACTAGAGCCATAGGTAGACTGTAGTACCATTACTGTTTCCACACATTCTTTCCAGTTAGACCAATGCTTCCTAATAGCAGATGCCCTGCCTTTTAATTTCCCCCCCCTGCATTCTTGCTGCCAAACTTTCATATATTTCTGATGATCTAAAAGCTACATTTTTTAAGAAAGTAAATAGTACAACCACTTTGGAAGGCAGTTTGGCCCAGCTATTCCACTTCCCAGAATATACCCCAAGAGAATGAGAACTGAGGCACAAACAGACTTGTACACCATGGAATAGTCATAGTAATATTCATCATCCCAAGAACATGGAAATAGTCCAAATGTACAACCACAATGGAATGGACTGAAAAATTATGGTACAGTCACACGATGGAACACTACGAAGTATGCAAGAGCAATGATTTTGTAAATCACTACCTAACTTGGAGGGACTGGAGAGCATCATGCTAAGTGAACTAACTCAGTGCTTTTAGGACAAATACTGTATAAGACCATTATTGTAGAACAAGTATGAGGATCCAAGGGGGAAAGGGTGAGAGCAGAGGGGTGAGAACGGGTGGGGATCAGAGGGGGTGGGAGGAGAGTTAATTATAGGGTGGTACAATTTGACGGGAAGAGGGAGGGGGGTGAAGGAAATGGGAAAGATCCAGTGTGAAAACAATGGACATGAACTCTGTAAGTAAGCCAGTATAAATTAAAAATTTAAAAAAAGAGGAAAAAAAGATATTAGCAACCATTATTACTATTATTTGCCATAAGCATGGAAAAGACCTATCATGTTTTCTCAGTATCCAACAAAAAGTATGCAAAATCTAATTTTAGACACAAATAAACTGCATTACCTATTAAAATGAACTTAAATAATAAATCACTTAAAACTGTATAATCTTTATGCTGAGGCTGTAATCAAACTTCATTAAAACTATTATTTCCTAATGACATAGCCTATGCTGATTTGTTAAGTCTGAATTAACCTTTTTCTGTCTCATCACAGGCAATGCATAATCTTTTCAGATAAGATAAAAAATGTCTATTTGTAACAAATGAGACACTTTAATAAAAAAATTTACAAGTAACTACCAAGAGAATTTGAACTAGTAATGCTTACCAACACTAGCATGATCAACAATAGTGTCAATATCTTGCAGACCCCATTTCTTATAAGATAATGGTGGTGGCTGTATATTCTCATTGCCCGATGCTGCAGCTGTTAAATAAAAAAAAAAAATAATCCAAAAGTAACTAAAATAGAGAAAACAGAGTTTCACATAAAATTATTAATAATGTAGTACCTTGATGATTATTCTTCTTAAACAACATGCCTCCAGGAATGATAAACTTTGATAAAAGGCAAAAGTTATATAAAGGCTTCAGGTCTTTTGTTCATACAGTCTCTATGAGTTGTGCTTGACTCAAAGGCAATCAACAACAATGAGGCAAAGTAATACATAAGTCATAAAGTGTTTCTTTTACTCTCAAGACAATGTATATAAAATAACACAGTAAATTATTAGGTAGGTATCACAAAAGGAATGACCAAATTATTATTGTTGTCATATACAGTCAAGTCAGAACTAAGTCAGAGTTGACCACCAGCTGGGTTTTCAGAGGCTGTAAATTACATGGAAGGAGATTGTCCATCTTTCTTCTGCACAGCACCTGGTGGACCTTAACTGCCTTTGGGTTCGCAGTGCAAATTTTACTATTTTGTGAGTGTACCATCAAATTGGATCTGACATCAAATTGCTCTTCCTTCTCCAGCACAGCATTTGGTGGATTTGAACCATGTACCTCTGGGATACCTCCTAGGCTACTTCTGAAAATCAAAATGAACTCTAATGGCAATGATACTAACTAAGCAATTTCTCCTCTTTGAAAAATACAGTGGGTAAAACTTTGGGAACGACAACTCTAAACTTAATGCTTTGCACAAAACTTGATGTACCTGGCAGGAGCCCACACAAAGCAAGAGCTCTAAGCTAGGTAACTAAGGCTAGATTTGATAGAAATGTCACAGCAATAGCATTTCTGGAGAAAAAGGAAATGTCAATAGTTAACCTTCACTTAGTAATGAAAAAAGTTATATCTCTTGTGATTAGGTTCATGCAGAAGGTCCCATCTACCAGCATATATGCCCATACTAAAGACAATAAAGCTGAACTCTAGTTGACTATTCTGCAAAGTGAAGGGAAAAAACTCCATAATCTTTAAACACCATTAATTTCATAACTCAAAATTAATTGCTGTTGAGTTGCAACCAACTCAGATGACCTTCTAGCATGTTTTCAGGAGACCATAAATCACAGAAGAGGAGACAGCTCATCTTTCTCTTGAGAAGGAGCTGGTGGATTTGAGCTGTCTCTATGTTAGCAGTGCAACTTCCTAGGGACTATGCCACCAGAGCTCCTAAGCTACTAGAGCTCTAAGTTGATTTCAGAGTAAAGCCAAAAGCAGAATTTTCTCTTTAAGTTGTGAAAGAACTATAGTTCTTTATGCAGCAACTTATGAGAGAGTACACAGCAACTTAATTTCCTACTTCCTAGGAGAAAAATGGCTTTTGCATAGTAGCCTTCTTGTTGTTAGGTGCCATCGAGTCACCTGAGATTCATAGCAACCCTTTGTACAATAGCTCTGAATGCTGACCTATCCTGAGCCACTGTCTCTGACACACCTACCCTCACTACCAGTTACTGTGTCAATTCATCTCATGCAGGATCTTCCTCTCCTGTGCTGTCCCTCCATCCTTTTCCAAGGACTGGTCCCTCCTGGTGACGTGCCAAAGTATGTGAGACAGAAATTAAAAACCCTAAGCTTCCAGAGCTCCGTATGACAGTCTTACAGGTTTTTAAAAAGGCAGAAATAAAAAAGTAGTAAAGAATTAGACGACTGGCAATCTCAAGTCTAGTATAATTATCTAGATTATAGCAGAATTTTTATCTGTAAAAAAATCACTAGTCTCTTTGTATATTTATAAGTAGATATTAAAAATACAGATTCTAAACTAACAGAAAGCACGGTATTGGAATTTTACAATCTGATCAATGCTCTAAAAGGAAAATTTTCTACTTATCACATTATAAAATGTTGCATTTTCTCCCTTTAAAAAGTTGATTGTTTATTTCACATAAATGTTTCAACCACTTATGAGTTAAATGTTACTCGCATTTTTTTGCTCTGAAGGCCACTAAGTTCCATCTACCCTAATCCAGAAGAAATTAGTGCCAGTACTATATTTTCATCATTACTGAGCTTTTTTCTTTTCATCATCGATTTCACATGCAAGCAAGAGTCTGCTGAAGATGATCCAAAAACGACTGGAACAGCACACCAACAGAGGAATGCCTGAAGGGCAGGCGAGATTTAGAAGAGGCCGTGGCACTAGGGATATTATAGCTAATGTCAGCTGGATCTTGGCAGAAAGCCGAGATTATCAGAGGAATGTCTGTGCTTCATTGATTATGCAAAAGCATTTGACTGTGTGGATCATAACAAACTGTGGTTGACTCTAAGAAGAATAGGTATCCCAGGACACTTGATTATGCTTATGTGAAACTTATACTTGGACCAGGAGGCAGTTGTCAGAACAGAGCAAGGAAACACTGCATGGTTCAAAATTGGGATGAGTGTGCATCAAGGATGTATCCTATCTTTTCAATCTATATGTGGAACAGATTATCTGGGAAGCTGGTCTTTATGAGGAGAAATGTGGCATCAGGATTAGAAAGAATACTCATCAACAGTCTGCATTATGCAGATGACACAACCCTGCTTGAAACTGAAGGGTTGGAGGAGGAGGACCTGAAGCACCTGATGTAGAAGGTCAAGGACTGAAGTCTTCAATATGGACTGAAGCTCAACATCAAGAAAACAAAGATTCTCACCAATGGGGCAATTGGCATTATCATGATGGATGAAGAAGAGATGGAGATTGTTAACAGCTTCAGTTTGCTAGGCTCTACAATCAACACACGTGGTACCAGCAGCCAGGAAATGAAAAGACGAATTGCATTGGGAAAGTCTGCTGTCAGAGACCTCTCCAAAGTACTGAAGAGCAATGATGTCAGTCTGGAGACTAAGATGCACCTGATATAGGCCATGGTCTTTGCAATTACTTGCTCTGCATCAGAGGACTGGACATGACTAGGGATGACAGAAAAAGAGTTGATGCCTTTGAGCTGTGGTGTTGGAGAAAAATAATGTATATACATACCATGGACTGCTAGGAGAATAAAAAAAGTTCATCCTGGAGAGGGTGAAATCGGGCTGCTCCTCGGAGGCAAGGATTCTGAAGCTTCATCTGACATACTTTGGACACATTGCAAGGAGGTATCAGTCCTTGGAGAAGGACATCATACTTTGGAGGGTGGAGGGACAGTGTAGAAGAGGAAGACACTTGATGACATGGAATGATTCCATCACTGGGGTAATGGGGATAGGCATGTTGGAATCATTGAGAGTGGCACAGAAGAGAGCAAGGTTTAGGGCTGTTGTACACAGGGTCACTAAGAGTCACAAGCAACTCGATGGCACAAAGCAACAACAGCAACGTTTCTATAGTTGCGTTTTTAAAACTGATGGGTGTTTTTGTTTTCATGGTTCTTTTCAGTTAATTTCATGAAGGAGTTACACTACTCCAAGTTAAAAGTGGACCCCAAATAGTTACATTATATAAGCTATGAGGTTTTAAACTTGTGACAAGGGACAGAAGGGAAATTTTCTAATCAATGCAAGAAAATCCTCACTTAAACTTGAGTGAGCCATAAGCACTTAAAACCTATGAACCTTCAGCTGGTCGTCCTTAGCCAGTCCAATCTCTACAAGGAACTGGCATATGTTCTTGAACTGGCCACCCTGTAGCTGAATTACTTCTCCATATTCTGGATACTCAAATACAGCACCATTGCAAGCAAATTTCTTAAACACTTTCACTAGTTTATTCTTATTGTAATCATCAGTGATCCCTTGAACAGTTAGAAGGGTCTTCCTGCCATTTCTCTGTTGAATTCTTATATGGATATAATCCTCTATCCCAGCAGGAAGCAGATCATCAGAAAGGGAGTCGAAAGAATGGAGATTCTGGATAGTGGCTATATGATACAATTCCTCTTCCTCGGTGGAAATGGCCTGCGGAAGGCGGCAGTGAGAAAAGGGGGTGGGTGTGCATGTATCTCTCTCTCTCTCTCTCACACACACAGACACACACACACACTGGGAGAGAATGTCAGGGAGCAAGGGTGCTTGAGGGGGAGGCAGCTGAGTCCTTGGCGGTGGCTCAGTGACTGGGGATGTTGTTTCTTTTATTGGCAGCATTTTTGTCTCTTTATGGTAGTTCTGGTAGCTTGGCCCACAGGCAGCTGTGCTAAACCAAATCTAACGCAGTTTTCTGACAATTCAAATCCCCCAGTGGCTTTTCAAGAGAAAAACCAGTAATCTCCTCCTGCTCAATTTACAGTCTCTACAGTCTCTAAAACCCAACAGAGAGTCAGTTATGACTTGATGGCAATGAGGTATTTGAGTGGAATTTAAAATAATGGTCCATTTTTAAAAGTGGAATCTTGCATTTGATGAAATAGAGGAGCTTATCCCAAAACATGGCATCAGAAGAAAATTATGGGTAGCAAACTCTTATCTATTAAGTTTTCATAAAATCTGGAAGCAATGTAGTTGCCTATTTTATAGACATTAATTTTGTTTCCAATTTCCCCCCAAAGTGTTTCAGTATGTGAGAAGTTGCTGCGCCCTGCATGCTGTGGGAAAATTCCCCATGTATCCAGTGGATGGTTATCTTCACCCTTAAGAAGAAGAGAAGCAATGCAGAGAGAGGTGTTAGTACACAGGCCCTAAAGCTGCTGACTTACTGAGAATTATGGTTTGTTGAAATGCAACTAAATTCCTAACTCCAAGGATGATGACATCCTTATAGTTGTTACTTATCATTCAGTACAGTTACAAGCCTCTCTCTTAACTGTCTCAAGTACACTGCTGAAAAGGGAGTAAAGCTTCCTAGTCCTGTGCCAGCCACATACTCTACTGGCAACATAGAAAGTAAACTGAAGTTTCCATCTACAATTATTTTTCTAATCAATTAGCCAACACCGTACTCCTATAAGGGAGCTTTGGTCAGTTGGGAGCTGCACTGCCAACATCAAGGAGAGTGGTTAGAATCCATCAGCTGCTCCTCAGGAGAAAGATGAGTAATCTCCTCTTGTACAATTTACAGTCCCTAAAAACTTGTGGAGGGCCAGGTATGATCTGGGTCTGACAGAGAAAGCGAGGAAGACTATTGTTGAGATGGATCGATTCAGTGACTGAAGTAATGAGGGTAGGTGTGTCAGAGACAGTAAATTTGGCAGAGGATAGAGCAGGTTTCAGGGCTATTATATATAGGGTAGCTATCAGTCACAAGTGATTCAATGGCACATAACAACAAACAATGAGTTGAGTTGTTTGCACTCCTTTAGTTATGGCAGCAGGATTTTACCCTTCATAAATACAGTTTGGAAAACCTTTTGTTTTCAGCATGTTTAATTCTATAAATAGACTAAGTTAAGACAAATATGATCAGGAGTTAAATATTTCTTGCCAAAAATTACCTTTTGCTACCTGATTTCGACAGGCACGAAGAGATTGAAAAAGGCTAAATCCGTCAATAGTCACAATAGCAGATGGATATAAAATACTTAACTCTTCATTCTAGTTAAGAAATAATAAAGAAGATCTTAATTAACATAATTAAGTCAGTATATCTAATTTTTTATGCTGAAAGTAAAAAATATTGTGAAACGAAAAATACAATGGCTAAACTTTCAACCATTGAATAATAACAAAATACAAGGAAGAAGAACAGTAAAAAACACAGAAAATTTCAGAATGCTTTTAGCTAAAGTCTCAGAATTATTTGTAAATGTGAGCTCTTTTGAGTAATGCTTTTAGGACTGATGAGAATTAAAAAAAACAAAAAAACCCAACAAAAAACTCACTCACTGTAAAGATACAAACAAAACATAAAGCAGAAAGAAAAAAAAAAAAACCTCAAAACAACAAAACACTAAGTCTTTACTGGAAATTACTTCATGTATAGCCTCACCAATATTCACAAGTTTTCCCTTGAGACACATAATACTCTACAGTAATTTCAATTTCTCAATGTCAATATATATATATAGCATTTTAGATACAATTATTATTTAATGATAATTTTATATGTCAATAAATAAATAAATAAGTAATTTTTGTCATAGTTCTCCAAGGAAACGATTTTATTCTTTTTGGGAGTAGGGTAGTACAAAGAAACTATATGCATATTACATAGCTTTGACGATGTATGTTGTAAGTCAAATAAAAGCACATTCGTTTAATTAGTTCTAAAATTATTGAAACAACTCAAACATCAGAAAACACCTAGGAAAAAGTGGAAATCTTTGGAGAGTCTTAGGTACTAAATATAAAACCATACACCATTAGCTATCAGAGTCGACTGACTCGCAGTCCTCCATCACATTTCTGAGGCTGTAAATCTTTACAGGAGATTGATCAGCTTTCTCCCACTGAAAGGCTAGAGATTCAAACTACTGTCCTTTCAGTTAGTAGAACATCAAGTGCACTACACAACCAAGTTTCTCCAGGTAAATAGAATTATTAAGTGAAATGGCATTTTTTCCCAGTAAAAATCTTCAGTAAATACAAAATACTGTCTACTATTAACAAAATTTAATAGCTTCTTTTCTGAGAAATATCTTTTTCTCAGAAAAGCAATGCAGCAATATTAATAAATAATATCAGAATACATTTTCCTTTTATTATAAGTCATTTTAATACCTATATACAAATAAAAAATAAAATAGCAAGTACAAAAGCTTTCTACTAAGTTATTTAGTAGATAAGTTTCTACTAAGCTCCAAAAAAAAAAGGGAGGGGCTTTTTGGTTTTGGCATTTGACTAAAATATTTTAGTTTATCGTAGATCAAATATCCTACAAGGTTACTACTGAGTTTGGAAGGAATCAATTTGATGATAGTGGATGGGTAGAGCCAAGCAAAGAAAATTTCTTAAATAAATAAAAGCAAGAAGGGTACTCTGTTCTCAGAATTTCTAATTCTCTTTCTAGACTATACTGGTGCCATGAAACTAATGATAATTTTAACTTCCCCACTACCAATTAAAAAGGGAGAAACCACAATGGCAATTTCATTTGAACATGATTATGCTACCTGTTCAGTCACACCAGGATGCCGTGGGATTTCATAGGTCCTGCATTTGAGTTGTAGTACTGCGTCTTCATTCAAAAGCTGTGCAAGCAAGAGCACACCATTCTAGGAGGAAGCACAGAGAAACCTACTTGTTTTCTTACTGATATACTAGAACAAGTAGGAAAAGAGAGAGCTTATAATTTCCCTCGTTTTCCATGGATGTCACCACTACTCTTTTTAGAAAAATATAATTAGTTCTAGCTCTTCCAACACAGCATTCAGTCTTTATTCTCTAATTCCTATAAAGTATCATCAAAGTCACAAAATGAATATAAAGGAGAATGCCTAAGTGGGTATGACAGCCATCTGCTGTTTTCTAACTGTTGGAAACTCAGCTCACCTCAGTGTAGAAGCGTACATAACCTGAAGTAAAGCCCACCACAATGCAGGTCCAATCAGGCCGTCCGGTGGAACTCCTATTATAAACAAAATACCATTGATCTTAACAACCCATAAATCAAAGCAAAACAAAGAGATCATTCTTATTTATCCTTACCTCTTTTGGCTTGCCAGTGGGATACACAGAGCACTGGTTAAATATTCCCTACAACCAGAAAAAAAATGCTTATTCAATAAAACTATCAAGTCATCTCTATTCTCTATTTCTCTATAGTTGGATCATTAAAGTGCAAAACCCAGGATATGACCTTGTGGACCAGTTCTATTTAGGACACGGGTAAAAAAAAAAAACAATAAAATTATATGGTCAGGAAAGTCTGTAACTTTACATTATAAAGTTATAGCTTTATAATTCTATAACTTTCATTCATATGAAGTTTACTATCATTATTTGTGGTTAATAAAAACTAGTATTTTCATCTATCTATGAGGTCACAAAAATTGCCAAAATAAATCAAATTTTGCTATACACAACAATGGTACACAGGAACTGAGAAATTCTGAAATAATCATCAGGCCATAATATATTAACAGAACCTCTTCCTCCTTATTAACTAAGAACTTCATCCTGTTTCAAATCAGGCTGTAGGCAAAAGGTAGAAAGAACTGTCAATCACATGACAAGCAAACTACATTTCTACTGGGTACTTAATTTCAACTCACTGCTGTCGTTAGGTGCTGCAGTGTTAGCTACCTTAACTGCAGACATTCGGTCTTACTGAACAACAGCTGTGGAACTAGGATAAGTGAGAAAGTGCTTGCCACAAGGAGCAGCAAGACTTGAGGGAGACTGTAGTAAGACCCTAGTGAGAGCCAGACCCTGGTAGCAAGACCCTCGTGATGGTGGAGGAAAGACTGTGGCATTGCTGTGGAGAAACTGTGGCAAGGCATAACCAGAGGAGCCCTGAGACAAAGACTACAGTTAAAAGTTTTGCTGTTTTTGCCAGATGATGGAAGGAACAGCTGACTGTTGAACTGAAACCAGAGCCTGAACTAATGGAAGAATTGTGCCTTGGAACTTCTCGACTAAAACCTAGGCTTGTATTGGGTAATATTCTTTGCCTCCCCCACTCTTCAACTTACTTCCTTAATTAACTTTACCCTTCTGTGAGTCAACAATAAATAAACAAACCTCTTGCTGCTAATGTGGTTCTAGAGGCACCATGAGGCTGTGCTATTCTCGCTCCACCTGGCCCTTTCAGAGAGATGCTCTGTGCTCCTATGTCCCATTTTCTGCTCTTTAGACAACTGGTGTCAGAAGGAGTGGGGTTTGTTTCAGACTCACAGAAACATGGTTTGGTATTGTGAATGTGGGGGTTGGGAAGATGTACAGTCAAAATGGTTATGCTCTATTTCTATAAAGTGGATTAGAAAATCTAAAAGGTTACTTTTGATGCCACTAAGAAAGAAAGAAAGGTGAGAAACTGCTTTATGGCTGGAGACAAAGGGGAAGAGAGAGAATGAAGTTAAAACTGTTAATTCCTTGAAAGTTTTTTGGTTATTTAACTTTATTAACATGGCTGCTTCTGGGGGGATTTGTTCATATAGTAATATTAAAATACAAAAATTATCAAAGTTTTTCTTTTATGAACTATACTTAATTTTATTATATTGAGGTACATATTGTAGACTGTAAAAAAGTACTATATTTCTGATGCATATGAATGTAGGAACGTTAATGAATACTAGATTCTATAAGAATCTACACTGTAATTTAGAGGAAAAATGTAGGCCAGTTGGCTTTTAATTAGAAACTCAAAAAGGGAAAATTTGCCCTAAAAAAATGCTTGTTTTTTTTTTTAAAGAATGCTTGTTGTAGTAGAATTTGGTACAGTGTGTAGAGCCTAGCCTAAGAAAGATTAAGTCCCACCCAGTTCTATGAGTTACATTTGAAAGAAGACAAGTAAGTGCAACAATGAATGAGTGGAAGCCCAAAATCTCTGTAAATGTTTATGAAAATTAATAAAATATAATTATAGAAAAAAAAAAAAGAAAGAAGACAAGTAGAAAAAGAGACAAACAGAGACAAGGTGAAGCTTCACTCATGATGACTACCTGAGTCTACTTGATGAGAAGAAGGGGGAAGCATCAGAACTCCCTTTAAAGTTAAAGGAAGCTGGTGAGTATACTCAACTCATGGTGACCACCTGGGTTCACCTGATGAGTGGAAGTGGGAGATATGTAGTAATGAAGAGATAGGCTGAGTTTGGATTTTCTCCTTCAGCACTGCTGACCTAGCATGATGAATGAGTAAATGAAGGTTTGTTGGTTTGTAGAGCAGAGTCCTGTGGATTCCTGATATATTAACTTGGCCCATGCAGGGCTGAGGGAGGGGACCGGTTGGTCTGAAACACAGGTAGAAGAGTATACTCCTGAGTTTGTCATTAATACCCATTTGGATCCTGGCCACAGATGGCTGGGGATGAGAAGACTGGAACTCAACCAGATAGAGAAGAAGTTTCATTCTGAGCTAGTGTTGATTACTGTTACCTGATGGTTTGCTCTAACTAGGCCTTTGTTTATAGATGCAGATGCCTAAAGTTTTAACTGTAATAGAAGATTCTTTGGAGAGGACTGGTTTGATTGACTATTTAAAATGAGGGGATTAAGACATAAGGAGTGAAGGAGCTGGCTATGTACTTCCATAAATATAGATGATGGTGAGCGAAAGGCTGATTCTTCAGATAATGAAAAATAATGGCTAGAAAAGTCACAAGATGGGCTGCAGTGTTATCAACCATCACCTTATGCCCCTTTGGTCTCCAGCTACCTTCACTGCAGACACATGGTCTTGCAAAGCATTAATACCTGTGGGACTAGGAAAAGAGACTGCTTCTCAGATTTGAGGTGGACTGGAGCAAGTCCCTGGTGACAGTTGTGGAGACTGTGGCAAGGTGTAACCAGAGGAGCCCTGAGATAAAAGCCACAGTTAAAGGTTTTGCTGTTCTTGATGGACGGTGGAAGGAAAAGCTGACTGCTGAAGTGAAACCAGAGCCTGAACTAATTGAGGAATTGTGCTTTGAGAGTGCTGGACTTAAATCTGGATTTGTGTTGCATGAAACTGTCTTTCCCACTCCCCAACTTACTTCCTTAATAAACCCAACTCCTGGTAAGACAGTCTGTGAGTCAACAATGAATAAAAGAACCTCTTGATCCTGGTGTGGCTCTAGTGGCATCATGAGGCTGGACTGCAGGCTCTTTATCTGCTTTCTGCTCTAGGGTGATGAGATCCTGTGCTACTCTTACTCTCTCTGGTCATTTCAGAGAGATGTTCATGCCCTTGTGTCACCTGTGCTCTTTAGACAGGTGCAATCAAGTTATGTGTGACCCAGAGCAACCCGTGAACAACAGATCTGAACCCTGTCCTATCCTGCACTATCTTCATCATCTGTGACAAACTTGAGCCCGCACTGCAATCACTGTGTCAATCTATCTTGCTGAGGGTTTTTTAATCTCATCTGTATTTTTCAAAAATCACCACTATTACTAAGCATAAGCTTGATTTGATGTTTGTTAAAAGAATATTTTTCAGACATAGATATCAACTTTTGTTTTAAGCTGTAAAACTGTATGATCCTCACCAACATCATCAAGAAACACACCTGTCCCAGACAGAACTAGAAAATAACTGAACAAAGTTAATTCATCTTTTTAATTTAGATTTAAAGTAATAAGGTCATTTGGATATGCTTTACATTTATGATAGAAATTAATTTTCAAAATACTTAGACAAATGACTTGTAGGGAAATAATGTATTTTGCTAATAGAGAACATTATATGGATTATTTACAATGTCCAGATATGTACTAGGTACTTCCACTTGGCTTTTATCTAAATTCAAGGACTGAATTTAGACCGAAGGATCAGCGACCTCTGGTGGCCTAGTGGCAAGAAGTTGCACTGCAATCCCAGTGATGGTGGTTTGAATCCACCAGATGCTCTGCTGGAGAAGGAGGGACAATCTCCTCCTATACTAGTCAGGTCTGATCTGACGGTACAGATATACACACATAATAATAAAAGAAAATAAAATTTTAAAAAATTTAGACTGAAGGATCATCATATTCATTCTGATCAGAGAGCTTTCAGCAATAAAAATTTAACTGAAAATAGTTTTTGACTCAGGGTTCCCTGTTAGCAGCTCCATCATGTAGCCATGCTAGAGATAAAAAGTACAAAATGTTCACCAAGGTATTAGAAACTGGAAGTAAACATCCTGCTTGCTGAACTATTTATAAGTTTAAAGAATCAAAAATTCTATTTAGAAGCACAATGTTAACATAACAGAAAAGATAATTACCACTCCTGACTTGTTGATTGACTAAAATTAGTAACAAAAACAGTAGAGAAGGACTAAATGTAAAAAAAAAAAAAAATTAGTGACCTCTGATGGCCTAGTGGCAAGAAACTGCACTGCAATCCCAGAGGTGGTGGTGGTTGTTGTTATGTGCCGGCGAGTCGTTTGCGACTCATAGCGACCCTATGTACAACAGCCCTAAACCCTGCTCTATCCTGTGCCAATCTCATTGCCTCTGACACACCCATCCTGATTACCCCAGTTACTGAATCAATCCACCTCATAGAGGGTCTTCCCCTCCTGTGCTGTCCCTCTATTCTACCCAGCATGATGTCCCTCTCCAAAGACCTGTCTCCTTGCAACATGTCCAAAGTATGTCAGACGAAGCCCCAGAATCTTTGCCTCCAAGGAGTAGCCTGGTTTAACCCTCTCTAGGATGAATCTGTTTGTTTTCTTGGCAGTCCATAGTACATTCAATACTCTTCCCCAGCACCACAGCTCAAAGGCGTCAATTCTCCTTCTGTCCTCCCTAGTCATTATCCAGCTCTCTGATGATAACAAGTGATTGCAAAGACCATGGCCTGTATCAGGCGCACCTTAGTCTCCAAAGAGACACCGCTGCTCTGGTTCAAATCCACAAGATGCTCTGCTGGTGAAGGAGAGACAATCTCCTGTACCACTGAGATTTGATTTGACAGTACACACACACAAAATAATAAATTAAAAAAAAATTATAGGATCTCAATGAAGGAATTTTTTTCTTTTCCTTTTCAAAGAGAAGAACGAACTGGGGGTAGGGGGGTGGGAGGGGAGAAAAGTGCAAAAATGAATGAATAGAAATCCAAAATCTCTGTAAATGTTCATTAAAATTAATAAAAAAAATAAAAAATATAGGATCTCTTAAAATTATTCAACTTTCTTCAAATAGAATTAACTTTTTTGCTTTTTTTTAAAAAAAATATTATTAAGTTCAATGAAAATTTACAGACTTTGGATTTACATTCATTGACTGTTGTACTTTTCTCCCCTCCCAACCCTCTCCTCCACTACACTACCCTCCTGAAAAAGTAAAACAAAAATTCTTTCATTGTTTTTCAATCCCTCCCCCCAGGTCCACTCCACTATGCAGCCTTATGGACTCCCATCATGACAAAAATACCTAATCACACATCCCTTTTAAACAGTTTTCTCCCTCATCTGTTGCAATGCAGTATACATTATTGAACCCATCTTTCTCAGTCTCCTCCCAACCCAGAGGTCAGTCCTGTTTCACAACAGTGGCACCATGCAGTATTTGTCCTTCTGTGACTGAGATACTTCATTCAGCATAATGTCCTCCAATTTGAATAACAGTGCATGAGCTCCTTGTTTCTCAATGCAGTGTAGTATTCCATTGTGTGAATATACCACAGCTTCTCTATCCATTCATTTGCTGATGGGCACTTAGGTTGTTTCCAACTCCTTGCTATTGTGAACAA